TTTGTTGTGAGTAACAACCTCTCAAGAAATGTTAATAGAGCTATGAAGCATAAATGAAAGGATAAAAGACAGTACCTTGAGCCCATGTGAAATAACAAGAAAAAATGGTAAATACAGCCACACAGGTAAATATGCACTCTACTACCACAGACATTCTAGTTTCCTATTTCTATTTGTTTAAAAAATATAAATATAAAAACAATACATAAAAATTTAAGTTGAATGACACTGTGAGAGTCCCTTTTCTATTGCTCTAAGAAAATACCCAAGGCTAGTTACTTTATAATAAAAATGTCATTTACTCAAAACTTCAGAAGGCTGAAAGTCCAGGATCAAGGTGATCTGGATTCCATCAGTTTGGCCTCTGGGGAGTACACACTTTGTTATGTCCCAGTATGCTGTGTGACATTGTGTCAGGAGGATGGGAAAGAAAAAATCATGTGGACAGACACAAAGCCAGAGAGCAGAGAGGCAATTACATAACAGGGTGACTACAGCTATTCATAATGCACTATGTACTTAGAGGTAAGAAAATAGGCTCAAATTTCTCCCCATAGCAGAGAAAAATATTTGACGTGAAAGATGTGCTAATTACTGATTATATAACACATACATGTATTTGTGATGTGAAAGTATTAAACACCTGTGCACCTCCTGAATTTTGTACATCAGATCCAAAAGGCAATGAAGACACTCAATTTACACTGGGTAATGTTTCTTTTAGCAATAATATGGAAGCAGAAGCAAAGGTGATAGTTGAGAAAGAAAGAGAAGAAATTACATCACCAGATTGGGTAAACACCAACACCTGAAGCCCTGTAGCTGGCAGCCCTGGGGCAACACTTCAGGGTCCTGACTGGAAGTCCCAGGCAAAGCAGGTGAGACTCTGAGATCTTATTCCCAGTGGGGCTCTTCAAATACAAGTTAGAGCAAAGAAAGCTCTAGTCTAACAACTTGCCTGGCCTAGTGATCCCCTCAAGGACGCTTCCTCACTTTACAAAGACTGGCCAAATCCCTGAAGGGAGAAAGTGCTAGGGCCTTGAGATGAGTTCATAACTCTGCAGAGTTGCAGGGCCTATAGAAGTATTGTCACTCTATAAAGATGTTAACGTTGAAATTGAAGATATGTAAATCTGGTGCTTATTTTCATATCCTCATATCATTCCTATAACTCTCTTAATTTGTTCATCATTACAAACAGAAAAAATGTGTAAAGAGCTGATTTATGCAAATGGCAATTCCCAAATACAGTCTTAATAAAATGTGTAAAAGAATTAATGGAGATGTGGCTATTAAGGCACTATTTACCCAATATTATGTTTTACTGTTACATAGGTCCTCTAGTAAAGTGGAATAGTGTGATATCTGACATAATGACATGATTCATTACATGACAGTGTTGACATTTACTTTTATGTAGTAAAAAATTGCATATATAATGTGAATACAAGTAAAAATTCACTGTAAACTGGGAATGGTGGCCCATGCCTGTAATCCTTGTCCTGTAATGCTTGTGGTTGATTAAGGACTTTCACAAGTTTAAAGCCAGCCACAGTGATTTAACAAGGTCCTGAGCAACACAGTGAGATATTGTCTCAAAATAAAAAATAACAAAGGGCTGGGGATGTTCCTCAGTGGTTACGCATCCCTGAGTTCAATACACAGAACAAAAAATGGAAATTTAAAAATTAAAACTGAGTACAAAATCCCTCAAATACATTTTTCTTTTGTTTTTATTGTAATTTTAAATTTTTTTTTCAGCTATATGACAGTAGTGTATTTTTACATATTATACATACATGGAGTGTAAGTTAGGGTTAGGGTTAGGAATTTGTTGAAGTCTTCAAGATTCTCTATTTTATTGAAATACAAATTTTCAGAATAGGTTTTCATTCTCTTTGGTATTTCAATAATGTCCATGATGATACTTCCTTCTTTGTCATGGTTTTAGTAATTTAAAAAATTTCCCTCATTCTCTTGGCTAACTTGGCTAAGGGTTTATCAATTTTGCTTTTTTTTCCCCAAGAGTCAACTTTTTGTTTCATTGATATTTAAATTTTGTTTCAATTTCATCGACTTTGGCTGGTTTTAATTATTTCCTCTCTTCTCCTGCTTTAGATAGTCTTATCTATCTAGACCTATGTTAGGCTTTGTGTGTGTGTGCGTGCGCACGTGACTTTGTATTCTTTTAATGAATGAGTTTCATGCAACCAACTTACCTCTTAGAACAACCTCCACAGTTTCCAGAGATTTTGATATACCATGTCACTATTCTCACTTACCACTAAGTATTTTTTGTTTCTCCTCTGATTTCTTCTGCTATCCATTGGTGATTTAATATCATATTACCTAGTCACCAGGTGTTAAAGTAGCTTCTATGTTTTATTTTATCATTGATATCTAATTTCATTCCATTATGATCTGATAGAATGCAGGGTAGTATCTCTATTTTTTTTTTATTTGCTAAGCATTGTTTGTGGCCTAAATATTCTATATAGTCTGTAACATTTAAATTATCAATATTTCATTTAAGTTCAATAGCTCCCTTCTTTAGTTTTTATTTGGAGGATCTGTCCAGTGGTGAGAGAGGAAGTCACCCAGTGTGATCTTTTGCATTGAGTCTGCAGATGTCTTTGCTTATGAGGTGAGTCTCCTGGAGACAACATATTGTTGGGTCTTGTTTTTAAATCCAATCCGCTAGTCTATAGCTTTTTGATTGATTTTTACAATGTTATTACTGAGAAATACTTTTTATTGCTCACCATTTTTATTTATGGTTTTTAATTTGAATACTTTCTCCTTTGATATTCTTCTAGTGTAATTCCTCCCTTTGCTGGTTTTCAATTTTATTTTTCTACATTGTATAGGTATTCTAAATATTCTTCATGAAGCATTTTCTTGAATATGTCTTGTGGTACAGGTTTTCTAATTGTGAATTCTCTTAACTTTTACTTACCATGGAAGATTTTTATTTCATCATCAATTCTGAAGCTTTATTTTGCTAGGCATAATAGTCTAGGTTGCTATCCATTTTCTTTCAGAGTGTGGTGTATATTATTCCTGGACCTGCTAGCCTTTAGAGTCTGGACTGAGAAATCAATTGATTTCCCTTTAAATGTGACCTGTCAGCTTTTCTGGCAGCCTTTAAAATTCTATCCTTATTTTGCATGGCAGGCCATTTCATGATAATGTGCCTTGTGTGAGCATGTTTTAATTTTGCATATTTGGAGCTTTGTGGTCCTGCATTTGATTTTCCATTTAATTTTTAAGATATGGGAAATTTTCAAATATATTTGAGAACACCGTGCATTACTTTAGTTTGTATCTGAGCCTTCATTTATCCCAATAAATCTTATATTTGGTCTTTTCATGTTGTCCCAAATTTCCTGGAAGTTCTGTTTATCGACTCCTAACATCTTTTCTTCAGAGTCAACCTTATGCTCAAAATTACATATTTTGTTTTTCTTGTGTGGAACTCTATCTTCCAAATAGTCTATTCAGCCAGTGATGCTTTGGGTTGAATTTTTAATTTGGTTTATTGATTCCATAATTTTGAGGATTTCTCTTTTTTTAATTTATTAAATATTTATTTTTTAGTTTAAACAACACCTTTATTTCACTTGTTTATTTTTGTATGTGGTGCTGGGGATTGAACCCAGGGTCTCACACGTGCAAGGTGAGCACTCTACTGCTGAGCCACAACCCCAGCCCCAAATTTTGAGGATTTCTGCTTGACTTTTTCCCCAAATCTCTCTTCATTGAAGTGATCTTTCACTTCCTGTATTTTCTGATTACACTCTTTACTTTGTCCTTTGCCACACAGATCAGTTTAAGTATGCACTTTCTAAACCCCTGCTCTGGCATTTCTTCCACTATAACATCAAAGAAATCTGCTATTGTAGTATTATGCTTTGCTTGTGATGTTTTGTTCCCTTGCTTATTCATATTGTTTGTGTGTCTACCCATCGAACAGTATGGATTTTATGCAGCTGAGTTTCCACCCTGTAGACTTATAGTGTCTTTGAAGGTTTTCAGTACCTCACAGCTTAGGGGTGTTGTGATGAGATTACAATAAATCACCAAGTCGATATTAAAGCAGGAGAAGAAAACTTGATTCATTAAGTGGTAGTCTGGATTTACCATCAGATGGGCCAAGGATAGACTGCAAGTCTACAACCTTTGACCCCCTCCTAGAGTTTGAGTATACCTTTATAGTCCAAAACCATATTGATCATAAGTGGCTGTTACTACAATTCAAAACCATAAACTAATATCATGAGATCTAAAATCATAAGTAGAAAGGGGAGTGGGCCAAAACATCCCTAGTTGAGTACAAGTTAAAGAATGATTACTAATGTTTAGATAATCTCTGACAGGGTACATTGTCCAAAAAATACAGGAATCAAAAAGAGAACAATTTTACATTGTATAAGAATTTTTTTTTTTTCCAAATATGCTATGCTACGCCACAACTGATGGATACAGAGGCAGGTGTTCCCACAGCAGAAGCACTTCTTACATGATGTGGAGTCTCAGGGTAAAATGGAGTCTGTTTGGTCATTTCCTATATAGCCTGGCCCATAACAGGCCAAACAAACAATATACAGCATTAGAGACAAACATATATATACAGGGGGAGACAAACAATATACAGCATTAGAGCAAATAGTTCCTGTTTTGATGTCTACAATGTTATTTATCACAATAAACAGAAATGATGTGATGTGGTTTTGTCCACATTAAAAACAGTAAGTTTTCAAAAGGGTTTACAATTTTCATGATGAACAGGGAGTAAATGGAAGCAATAGTAGTATGGGGTGTTATGAGGGGGGAGAGAAGATAGAAGAAATAAATTAAAGGAAGTGTGAAAGAGAGAATAGACTTTTGCTGTTAGCAGAATTAAAGAAAGAGACTCAAGAAAAATAGATAAGTGAGAAAAAATATGTAAAGTAAAAATAAGTTAGAACTAAAAGAATACAAAACCAAAATATGCTAATCAAACAGCCCTCAAAATGCCAAGCCATGAAAAAATAACTGCCTCCAAAAAATGCTAGAAATGAGCAGAAACAAATATGCATATGTATAATTGTCCATGAATCACTCAGATCACAGTAAACAAAATTAAAAAAAAAATTTAAAGGTTTTATTGAAAACTTTTAAAAGCTATTTCCATTGGAGTTCAAAAAATTCTTGGCTTCCCTTCTCAGCAGTGTTGGGTGGGAGGTGGGCTGGAGTGTGATGTTTGTGCCACACACAGGGAGGGATCATTGGTGTCTGAGAGATCCTGAAAACAGAGATACTGGAAGTGAAATTTAGGCTGAGGTAGGCTCCATGCTCTTTTTTGAATGGTGATCGATCTGAAGATTTTAAATCAGTGTACCTACAGGTCCCAGCAGTTGCCAGTCCGTGGTGGGGGACTGAACTCCAGTATCTCCCCTCGGTTCCCCTTGTGTCTAAGGCACCAATCTTTTGTCCCCTCCATCACCCACTGACCCCATTTTTCTATTCTCTAGGGTTTGATCTCCAAACACAATCACCCCCACTCCTGTCCTTTCAAATTCCTGGGCAGGCAAGTCTCTCCCAGGTTGTCCTGTGAGCTGCTGGACTCAAGGAGAGAAGGAAACAGGGTGGGTTTCCATGACCTGTATCACCCCGTGTAAACCTGTTTGTTCTCATCACTTAGGCACTCTCTTTGTCATGTGGTGTGGGTCTGCCTGGCTTGTAGTTTAGGTCCAGGTTGAGTTTCCCTGGAATAGGCTCCCCCAGGTGCCAATTTCCACAGCACAGCTGCAAAATGGCTCCCTCCTCTGTCCTGTGTAGGGTGTTAGAGGGAAGTGGCTTCTTTACTGCCCTAGGATACTGATACTATGCACATTATACCTTTCAGGTTAGTATAGCAGTGACTGATCTCTGATCTTTCTGTACCCAGACATGCTACAGGCCTCCTAAAAATGTGGGCTCCTTTAAAGCCCTTATCCCTCTAATTTGCTTGTGGAGGGGCCACGTAACTGGTGCTAGGGATTTCTTCCTTATTTGATTGCATCCAACCTCCTGAGTCATCCATCTGCTTACGAACTCTCTCTGTTCTTTAAGATTTGTGTTTCATTAAAACCTCTGCCCTATTCTTAACATTGTAGGGCTTCTCTCCTGTATGCATTCTCTGGTGTTGAGTAAGCAATGATCTTCGAATAAAAGCTTTAGCACATTCTCCACATTTGTAGGGTTTCTCTCCAGTATGAATTTTCTGGTGATCTTTAAGACATGATCTTTGATTAAAACCTTTGCCACATTCTGTACATTTGTAGGGCTTCTCTCCAGTATGAATTATTTGGTGTTCCGTAAGAAATGATCTTCGAATAAAAGATTTGCCACATTCTGGACATTTATAGGGCTTCTCTCCTGTATGAATTCTCTGGTGTTCCTTAAGATTTGTTATTTGATTAAAACCTTTGCCACATTGTTCACATCTGTAGGGCTTCTCTCCACTATGAATTCTCTGGTGTTCTTTAAGATTTGACGTTTGATTAAAACCTTTGCCACATTCTTCACATTTGTAGGGCTTCTCTCCAGTATGAATTCTACGATGTTCAGTAAGAAAGGAGCTTTTAGTAAAGGCTTTGTCACATACTTTACATTTGTAGGGCTTCTCTCCAGTATGAATTCTCTTATGTTCTTTAAGATATGATCTATGATTAAAACCTTTGCCACATTCTTGACATTTGTAGGGCTTCTCTCCACTATGAATTATCTGGTGTTCAGTAAGAAATGATCTTCGATTAGAAACTTTGCCACATTCTTCACATTTGTAGGTCTTCTCTCCAGTATGAATTCTCTGGTGTTTTTTAAGATTTGATGTTTGATTAAAATTTTTGCCACATTTTTCACATTTATAGGGCTTCTCTCCAGTATGAATTCTTTGGTGGCAAATAAGATACGATCTTTGATTAAAAGCTTTGCCACATCCTCCACATTTGTAGGGCTTCTCTCCAGTATGAATTCTCTGGTGTTGAGTAAGCAATGATCTCCGAATAAAAGCTTTGCCACACTCTCCACATTTGTAGGGCTTCTCTCCAGTATGAATTCTCTGGTGTTCAGTAAGCAATATTCTTCGTTTAAAATCTTTGCCACATTCTTCACATCTGTAGGGCTTTTCTCCAGTATGAATTCTATGGTGTTCAGTAAGAAAAGAACTTTTAGTAAAGGCTTTGTCACATACTTTACATTTGTAGGGCTTCTCTCCAGTATGGATTCTATGGTGTTCTTTAAGATATGATCTTTGATTAAAACCTTTGCCACATTCTTTACATTTGTAGGGCTTCTCTCCAGTATGAATTATCTGGTGTTCAGTAAGCAATGATCTTCTATTAAAACCTTTGCCACATTCTTCACACTTGTAGGGCTTCTCTGCAGTATGAGTATTTTGGTGTTGAGTAAGGATTGAAAAATTTTTTAAGACTTTGGCACATTCTTTACATTTGTAGGATCTGTCTCCAGTACAAATTATCAGGTGTTCAGTGCCAAGTGAGCTTTTTTTTCCCTCAGTGCTATGATGTCTGAGACATTCAGAAAGGGTTGAGTAATTGTTAATGACTCTGCCACATTCTTTAGATTTGCAGGGCTTCTTTCCAGCATAAATCCTCGGATGTTTAACAGGAGGTGATCTTTGATTAAAAATTTTGCCACATTCTTTAAATTTGTGGGGTTTATCACTGTCATGGTATCTGTGGGGTTTAAAAAGGGTGGAACAATGAAATGCTTTGATACATTCTTTAAACCCATAGAACCCCCTTCCAGTATAAATTATCTTCTATAGAGTAACTTTTGCAATTTGATGAAGAACTCCTTCACACACCTTACACTTGCAAGGCTGGTTTTGCCTATGAATATTTGGATGGGTAGTAAGTTTTGAGCACTGAAGTAAGGCTTTCCCACATTGTTTATCTTTGTAAAGGGTCTTGGAAAAGTGAACATACTAATGATTTATTGCAACCAATACTAAATTTTCATGAGTGTCTCTATATTCAAAATTTTTATCACAAATAAAAACACACTGGTAATTAACCAGGGTAAAGACTTGGCTAAAGGTGTTACTTGTTTCATTATGTATGTAGTATACTTTCCATAAATCTATATCTGAATGTTCATTAAACAATAGTGGGTAACTAAGGACTTCCCTAAAATCATTATAATTGTATGTTTGAGCAAAAGGAGAAATTATTGTTTTATTGCAGAATAACACTGTGTATAGGAACTCTCAAAAGGATCACTTTTAGAAATTTGTCCTTAACTTTTTAAAATTTGTTCTTATTATTATACATGACAGTAGAATGCATTTTGATACATCATACATAAATGGAATATAACTTCTCATCCTTCTGGTAGTACATGATGTAGAGCTACAATGAATGTGTAATAATATATGCACATACAGTAATAATGTCTAATTCATTCTATTGTCCTTCCTAGCTCTATGTCCCCTCCTCTCCTTTCACTTCCTTCTGATAACCCAAAGTATCTCTATTCTTCCCTAGTCGCTCCCCCCACCCCCTGATATTGTTTGTCCTTTACTTCTGAATCTCTTATCTACTCAATTGTTTGACTAGAACTTTAACTCAATGCATTTAAAATTGGTCAAGTTAAAAACGAAAGCATGGAATAGATCTCTTTTCAAATTTTCCACATTTCCTTTCAGAGGAAATGTAAGTTTCAAAAATTGCTGTGGATGTATTCTTAAAGACATACATAGCTCCTCAAAATAACTGGCATAAATTGAATTCTTCTCTGTTGTATTAAATGTTCTGATGTCTGTTGGCATTACATTGCATTACAAATAGTCACTGCTAATTGGCTTTGTCCTTTGTAATGATTTCTAACCTTCACGCTCACTTTAAGTTTCCCATATTTTTCTTAGTTGTACATAGTCAAAGTCACAATTTTCATACCTTCCCTTCATCATTTTTTGAAATAAAGATTTTATTTCCTGCTCTGGTGGAGATTCATGGATATGATGAGAAGTTGTGGCTGAAATAAACGAAAATAACAATTATTTTACTTATTGGACTGGAGTGAATATATTTAGCAAAGATAACAAAATTTTACCCATGTGAGGACATCAGCAGTAAATCCAAGACATGAATCATTACTTCAGGAATACATAGACTAAATAAAAACGTACAAACTTGTGAGACTGCCCAAACCATTGTAGAGAACAAAGGATCTAAGATGAGTACATTACTAAGGAGAAGAATATAGTAGAGGGAAGGAAACTGTGTTCCTTTTATCAACCACACTCTACCCTCCTCCACAATTTAGCATTGTGCAATTAGAAAAAAAAAATCTATCAACTCCCTTCACTCTCAGTAGTATAAGGGAAATATGAAACTTATACAAATATGTGTGGCTTTCATGGAGAATGTGTGATAATTAGTTTCTAACTGCCATGACACAGACACCTGGAGGTAAGAGAGATGTTGGATGAAATTACCACAGAGATGTTCAACAGGGAAAAAGACACTATAGACTATGAAGAAGAAATATGAACAAAAATATTAAATTGGAAAAAACAACACACATGCTTCAAAAAGATTCACCATGAAAAAAAGCTTAAGAAGCAATAAAACCAAGCATGGCCTATGACCACATTACCTGGATGAAGCCAACACATGGCAATCAAGACACACAACTTGTACTTTTTGTTATTTGTGGACTTATTTCATTGACAAATTTTATATATGTACTAAGCATGTCATATTTTAAAATACATGGTAAAATGAATAAATGTAGTGAATTAATGCATGCATTTTTTCACATAATTATCAGTTGTGTGCTGAGAAGGCATTACATTCATTCTATTAGCATTTATCAAAAGTACAATATACTAAACTCACCATGTACTAAAACACAACTACATCTATTGATATTATGCCCAATTTAAAAAAAAATATGAAGAAAGCAAGTTTTGTTTTGTGGTTTTGAACAAAATCACAATTTCAAACAACACATTAGTTAAATGGAATTGCAAAATTTTTGAAAGCTACCATTAAAATGCTATGGTTTTAACCTATAAATAAAAATAAATTCATCAATATGTAATTGATGGTTATGCATATAATCTCTGCTTCTGGCAATTATGAGGCAGGAGGATTGTAAAGTCAAAGCCATCCTTGATAACTTAGAACATTTCTCCAAATATAAATAAAAAGGGGCAGGGGATGTAGCTTATTATTACAGTACCCTGGAATTCAATCTCCATTAAATTTACAGATAGAAAATTTTCATTACTATGTACATAGGCAGGATGAAAAACCAATGCAGGTAAAATATACAAGTCATTAAAAAAAAACAGGTGTAATATTTATCAAAGCAAGTAAAAGCACGTGTAATTTTATTGGCAACAGAAATGTGGTTTAATCATATTTTAATTTCAACTTCCATTGTCCTAATTTTTGAAATGATGGAAATTGCCATCTAATCACAAAATAAAACAGTATAACTGATGTGCGAAAGCCTACTTTATAAAATGAAAGGAAAAAAAAACGAAATCGTAAATAACCACAGATGCATTATTTTATAAACCCTTTTGTATAAATACAATTTATACCTGTAACTGTAGACCCAAAAAGAGCAGCCATTGTGAATCTTGACATTCATTACATGGCAGAAAACTTCACAGGAAATCCATTACTAGCATTCAAAAAGAGCTCTGATAAGGGAATTTTAATGAATAAATATACAAATAATGTAAGAGAAACTGATTTATGATGTTAATATATTACAATGATTTGACTTAGAGTTCTCCAAATATTGGCAGAGATATCCAAGAGACCCACAAATACTGGAAGCGCTGTCAGATCATGCTGACCCTCATAAGCAAAGGGAAGTGCTGTGGTGGGTAACTGGGATGAACTGGGGCATCCCTGGAGGAAAACGACAATCTGAAAGCATGACAGATGTCACACCAAGAAAGGGAAAGATTAAAGACTAAAAGAAACATAATTAATATTCTATCTGTACCGAAGCATGCCCTATCTTTTTTTTTAAAGAGAGAGAGAGAGAGAAAGAGAGAGAATTTTAATATTTTATTTTTTAGTTATCGGTGGACACAGCATCTTTGTTTGTATGTGGTGCTGAGGGTCGAACCCGGGCCGCACGCATGCCAGGCGAGAGTGCTACCGCTTGAGCCACATCCCCAGCCCCCTATCTTTTTTCTTGAAAGCACAAATCTGAAAATTATTATTGTAGAGAAGTTCCCAAAAGATATTCTGTAAGAGAATTAAATATAGTAATTAATTAGGAATTCTGAAAGGAAGTCATCCTCACCAAGGAAGACCAGGTTTCTGTAGTTCTCTAACATCACGTCTGCATATAAATTTTGCTGAGCAGGCTCCAGGCATTCCCATTCCTCTTCAGAGAAATCAACGGCCACATCCTTGAATGTCAACAGTTTCTGGAATAGAAATTGTATGTACATAGCACATTGGCCACATGACCATTCACAGAGTTTTAAATTTAACTGAAGTTGAAATAAGATTTAGTTCAAATGGCTGTCTTGTAAGTGAGGGACTTTCAGTATTTAGTGAGATACTTTTGAACACAGTGATACTCTCTATGATCTAACTACAAGGAAAAAGGGACGTAAGTCCAAAAAGAGTGCATATACTTGACTTTTATAAAGTAAAATATAAAATTAAGGCATCCACACAAGAATAGACATTTTAATTGTTATTTTATATATCAAAGGATAAACTGTGTATATTCCTCACATGAGAGAGTTATGGAAGGGTAATTCTCAAATTTTAATTGTACAACCATGAATCAGAGATTTAATAAAAAGGAGACCCTGATTCAGTAGTTCTAAGATGAAGCCTGGTTTTATGAATATGTGGCAAGCTCTTTGGTGATTTCAATAACAGCAATACAAGAAAAACTTGGATTGCAAGGAGGTAGACCACTAAAAGAATCATTCATTGATATTCAAATATTGAATAAGATTTATGTGTGTTATTAAATAGCAAAAACCAACAATTCTTTTTGATAATTTGAAGTGGTGTACATATCACTCTAAGAGTTTTTCATATCTTAATTCATAAAACCCAAAATAATGGGATAGCAGTAAGAGTATTCATTTTTTTGTGAAAATATATGAAGCATCCAGTAAATGGCAGGGCTTGATTATTACCAAGTTTGTTTGGTCTGGAATTCAGAAGAAAAGAAACACTAATGTCAAAAGAAAGTGTGAATGATAAAAGAGTTTTCAGAGAAAGGCTGTTATTATAAATGAGATCAGTTTTAGAAATATGTTAAGACAACAAAATCAAATTGATCAAATGATATTTATATTTTCCATACACAGACATAAAAATGTAAACTTTTTATATAGTAAAACAATGACTTAATGTGAATGAAAGAAATATCTTCAATTTTTAAAAACTTGTACATGAATTTGGGATAGAGTCCTTTTTTTCAAACACACTATTGACCCAGG